CTGGTGTAGGAAAAACATCTGTGTTGGATGGGGAAAAATAGCACCTAAGGCCCCTTTCAACTCTAAAATTGGTTTTCTATGAATCTTTAAAAATCTGCATATATAGGAAATGGTGATTTGTAGCATATTGTGCATGTATCATTAGAACTGTGTCTATTTGAAATAAAAATAGAGTGCTAATTTATATGGTTAAATGATTCTCAGGAAGTCATTCAAGTGGGTGGACTTCTAAATGAGTAATCCAGAAGACAGGATATTCTGCCAACATAGAAAGAAAGGGCACCCAACCCTTTATGTTCCTGTACAGTGGATGAATAAGCACTCTCTTCAAATGTCGAGTATCACGATGTCATTCTCTCTGATAATCTCATAAATTTACAGCAAGCTCCCACTGAAACGAGTTATGCTGTGTGTCATGTTGCCAGCTATGTTGGTCTTTGCAATCTTTGTGTCCCCCAGAATTCATACATCGAAAATCTAATCACCACTGTAAAGGTAGCAGGACATGGACATTTGGGAGGTGCTTAGATCATGCAGGCAGAGCTCTCATCAGTGGGATTAGTGCTCTAATGAAGAAGACCAAGGCAGTAGCTGTGTCCTTCCCATCATTGAAGCACACGGCTAGAAAGTTCCATCTGTGAACCAGGAAATTGGCCCTGACCAGACACTCTCTGCCAGCACCTTGATCTGGGACTTCCCAGCCTCCAGAACTGTGAGAAATGAATTTCTATTGTTTATAAGCTACCCACTTGAAGGTATTTTGTTACAGCAGCCCAAACAGGCTAAAATATTGCCTACGTAGTTTTGTTAAAATGTTTTATTTTTCTGCATTGGCTAACATTGTGCAGAATTGTGCTGTTATATATCCGCCTAAGAGGAAAGTCATCATGTGCTGAAGTATGTGGGTATAGACTAAGTCTTTATTCATTGCAAATAAGAGATGCAGACTTCGAAATAACAAACAAACAAAAAAAAGACTTCAATCAGTGCAACTACATGGAAATGGGTGGTTAAGAATCATTTTAAGAATTTTAAAAATCCTTAAAAAGGAAACAAGGAGACTGTATTTAGGGTGTTTCAAGTTCCCCAGATGGTATTACTTTATTCAATATTACTGGCTAAGACAGAATTTTATATTACCTTCACACCTTTAGCCAGGACTCCAGCATTACAAAAGTGATGCATATAACCTAAAACATTTGTACCCCCTTAATATTTTGAAATATAAAAAGAATTAAGTACAACGCAAATATAAAAGTGAAGCTGTAAAAAAAAACTTATTGTAAAATAAAAAGCTTATTTTAAAAAAAATTTACAAAAGAGTAATTCTAGGTAAGGACTCAAAAGGAAAGGAAACTCTTCTTAGAGAAAACCTAGTGAGCCTGAACAGAATGTTTGTAGAAATGTGACTGGTCAGGGCCACTTTGATGAGCTCCAGACAGAAATGAGAAATATGTTATTGGACAACGGAAGAAAGCTCATCCTTGTTACGAAGTAGCAACAAATGTGGCTGAGCCGTGTTCGTGCTCTCGTGTTTTGTGGAAGGTAGAATTTGTGAGTGATGAAATTGGATATCTTGCTGAGAAAATATCTAAGCAAAGTGTTGAAGATGCAGCTTGATTCCTCCTGCTTGCTTGTAGTCAAATGGGAGAAGAAAGAAATAATTTAAAGATGGAATTTTTAATCCAAAGGGAAGCAGAAATTAAAGAGTTGGAAAAATTCTCAGCCTACCCATACTGTAAAGAATGAGACGGTGTGCTAAGGAGACAGCACGAGGGGTGTTGCCACCTGACCATTTGATAAGGAAGCTGGTATGCGTGGGCATCTCAATGGATATCAGGGCATGTTATTCAGAACAGTGAAATCATGACACTGAGGGCATTTCAGAGATAACTGGTCCTGCTTCTATCATCTCAGGCTGAGAGTGCAGGGTCTGGGGGGCACAGTGACTTCAGAGGAGGGGCACCACTGGCCAGCACCACCTCCCATCTCAGGCTTTTCTCCCCCATGCTGGGGCAGCAGTCCTCCTCACTGCCCCGACTGGAGCATGGGCATTTTATCCAGAAAAGCCCAAGGTATGCGTTGAACCCAGGCAGAGAACCACTGCAGCAGGGAGGCCACCACGGAGAGTCCCTACTTGGGCTGTGCCAAGCAGAACTGTGGGATGGGGTCACCCCTGAGATCCCAGACCATTAGAGCCAGGGACATGTGACTCCAACCGATGAGAGCTGTGGCATGGGCTGCTTCCAGCACAGCTGTGGGGTGGGACCTCCACCCCACTGTCTCTGAAAGGGCCTCCACCCAGTAGACCTGGAGGACACAGCACCGAGGCAAAGCAGATTATTCTCCACCTTTAAGGTTTTGGACTTGCTAGGGACCTGTTACTCCTTTCTTCTTTCCTGTTTCTCCCTTGGGGAACAGGAATATCTAGCCTGTGCCTATCCCATCATTACATTTTAGAAGAACCATAACATGTTCCAATTCACAGATTTCAGTAGGAGGGAACTGTGCCTCCAAAAAAGTTATACCTAGAATCTTACCCGTGTCTGCTGTAGATGAGATTTTGGACTTAGATTTTTAAATCGATGCTGAAACAAGTTATGACTTTTGGGGCTACTGGGATAAAATAAATACAGTTTCCACGTGTGGAGGACGTAGATTTTGGGGGGCCAAAGTTGCAATGCTGTTGTCTGAATGTTTGTGTCCCTTCAAAATTCCTTTGTTGAGATCCCGACCCCCGAGGTGATGATATTAGGAGGTTGGACCTTTGTGAGGTGATTACACCACAAGGGTGGAGCCCTCATAAATGGCGTTAGCGCCCTTGAAAAAGAGGCCTGAGGGAGACCCCTCGACTCTGCCCTGTGAAGTAAGAAGACAGTGCTATGAGTAGGCAAGCCCCCACTGACCCCAGATCTGCTGATCTTGGGCTT